GTTGTTGCCATTCCAATTCTTATTTCCACCCCAATTCTGGTTGTTGTTCCCCCAATTGTTTGAGTTGTTGTTGTTATTGTTCCAATTTCCTTGGCCTTGGTTTCCCCAATTCTGATTATTCCCTTGCGATCTCCATTGTTGATTTGGAGCATTGCCCCGTTGTCCTTGATAGTTCTTGGCATACAAAACTTCCTCACTTTGATCGTTATACGAGTCATCTTGGTTGTAGCCACTTCCATTGTGCTCATATTGATCTTGATTGCTTTGCATTTGTTGACCATGCTGTCTCCTCTTGTTTACCAATAGATTAACCCATTCCATTGCGTTTACTCGCTTTGGTCCCTGAATCTGCTGAAGCTGTGCTTTGGCTAACTGGTTCATGGTTGTTGTCAACTCAACTATGGCTTGTCCGTGGTCTTGAAGTTCCTTGTGAATATTTATGACATGACGGTCCACCTGAGGAACATTTGCCCGACTCTGCCAGGCTGAGGAAGTGTCAGCCATCTCATCAAGAATATCACAGGCCTCGGCATAAGGCAGCTTCGTAAAATTACCCCCTGCTAGCTGGTTTACCACACATTGATTGGTCGTGTTTATACCCCGATAAAATGTCTGTTGGATCATTGCTTCAGTCATATCATTGTTAGGGCATTCCTTGACCATAGTTCTATATCTCTCCCATATTTCATGAAGGGGTTCATTTGGCTCATGTTTAAAAGCTAAGATCTCATCCCTTAATGTAGCCATATGTCCCGGTGAGAAATACATGGCTATAAACTTGTCGGCCAACTCATCCCACGTGGTGATGGAATGGTTGTGGAGTCTTTTGAGCCAGTCCAAAGCTTTCCCTCTAAGTGAAAAAGGGAACAATCTTAGTCTCAATGTATCCTCCGACACATTTGTCTGTTTGCTTCCCCAGCAGGTGTCCACAAAACCCTTTAGATGTTTATATGCATTCTGATGGGGAGCGCCTGTGAAGTACCCTTTGTGCTCCAATAAGGTCAACATGACATTTGTAATCTAGAAATTGCCCGCCCGGATCCGGGGTGGGACAATTGAACTTGCGTAGCCTTCATTGGAAGCACCCGAGGAGCTGCTTACGAACGAGATGGGGTAGGGTCTAGAATGTTTTCAATGGCCTGACGACCTCTTCTTTGAACTTGAGGTACTAGATGCACCGCATCTTCAGCATTATCATCTACCTCCTTCCTCGGGATAACATTTCCGAGAGGATCATTATCTGCCATTTTGTACCTGAATCGATTAACTCACACAAGTTAGTAAAATAGAGGGAAAGAAAAACAAGACACACAACTAGTCATATAGATAGCCAAAACCATTTAACTCCCCGACAACGGCGCCAAAACATGATCGGCTCCAACCCTGCACCACTATATAATGGCGAGGAGTAGTTGATGAAGCTTTTACCCAAAAGGTCGGGATCGATATCCACATGGAGTTAATATTGGTTGGGAGTTGGGTTTCTATGTAATCTTGCTATGCGTGTTGCGTTTAATTTCACTTCTAACCATGCTTGTATTTGTTTCTATTCTACGTTTAATGCTATTGATTGCAGAAAATAATCTAAGTATAATGTTTTTGTAGGAGTTTTCTCAATTGATAAAAAAAACACTAGGGAAGTGACTTACCCCTAGGCGAGTATCTACTGGGGTCTAGAATTTAGGACAAGCTTGTTATATATGCGGTCGTCATATAACCTTTATACATAATTACTCACTCTATACCTCTCGGTAGTTTGAGTGACTTTTCCCTAATTGGCTTTCTCAAGCCTAATTGGGTGTTCAAACAATGCAAATAGAATTGGCTCAAGTCGGGTATTACTATCTCTAGGCTTAACCCTTTAATTGGGGCTATCAATCTCTTGAATTCACCCTAATTTCTTGTTGGCCTATTTTTCCTAGACTTGGGCTCTCTTTTTCAAGAAGAGCCTAAGTAAAAAAGGCATGAATCAGTGTTTGCAACCACCAATTCAACAGTTAAAGCATGAAACAAGCTAAATATTACTAACCCATAAACAAATAAGCCCTAAAATTGAAGACCCATTAAATACCCACACTAGGGTTGGGTCACAACCCTAGATAATGGGTTTAGCTACTCATAATCAAGGTAGAAATCAAAGATAAAGATGAAATATAAGCCATAAAAGTTGATTACAAGAACAAAATCTAATAATATAAGCTAAAGCTACTCTAAAATTACTCTTAATGGTAAAGTACGACTATTCACAAGCGCACTGATACAAAAGATAACCTAAAAATGTGAAACGGATCTATTTATACACAGCTGAAATCACTGGACAAAAATACCCCTATGGAGGTTCCGCTATCAGCGAAATACTGGGCGCCTCGGCGCACTTTCATGGCTGCGCAAAAACAAGCGCGGACCGCGTTTCTTCAATTTTGGACTCGGACTGGGCTAGGTTACGCGGATAGTGTAAAGTCTATCGTGTCCGCGTTGGCTTCTATTGCAGCCGCGTAAAATGTTCGCGGACCGCGTTCCTCAGTTAGGTTCCACTAGCCAAGTCTCTGAACCTCTTTCACGCCCTCAGCGGAATTTGCACCGCGCCTGGTAACTTCGCGGCCGCGTAATTTAGACGCGGGCCGTATTCTTCATTTGAGCTCATATTGCAAGGTCTCTGATTCTATAACTATGCTCTCAGCGCAATTTCACTCGCGATTGCGCCAGTGGTTTCGCGACCGTGCTTTTGTAACGCGGTCAGCAGCATTGTTAGCACTTGGCTGCAGCTTCTCTGAACATCACTTTCGCTACAACATAGTTTTAATCGCCTCAGCGGAGGGTCTTACGCGACCACGTAATAATAGTGCTCACAGTGCTCCATTTCCATTCTTTGGGCTTGTGCAAGTTTGAATCCTTTACGAGTTCATTTTGGCTTCTTTGCCTTACTTTTGACCAAAACCTGCAAGTACGCACCTTAAGTTAGTTTTCGGGAATACCTTAACGCACTTTTGACCCAAAATCTAAGCAAAAGAGAGCATAATATAGGCTAAAATCCATGGTTATCACGCACCATTGATGCTGCATGCAAAATAGCATGTCCCCAACTGAAAGGGGAAGTTTCTTCCTCATTTACAATGGTTTAGCTATTAATTGGAGGTGTTTAATCAATGATTCTGCTAGACAATTTTGAGTATGAGTATGAGCAACCGGATGCTCAACTTTTATTCAAGTGGCCATACAATAAATAATCAGTAAAGTCCTGAGATGTAAATTCACCAGCATTATCAAGACGTATTGTCTTAATTGCATAATCTGGAAATTGTGCTCTTAACCTTATTATTTGAGCTAACAATCTCGCAAATGCCATATTATGAGCTGACAATAAGCACACATGTGACCATCTTGTAGATGCGTCTATCAAGACCATAAAATACTTGAATGGTCCACAAGGAGGGTGTATGGGCCCACATATATCACCCTGTATACATTCTAGAAATGTCACGGATTCAATCCTAACTTTAGCTGCTGATGGTTTAATAACTAGTTTTCCTTGAGAACAAGCAGCACAAGAGAATTGCTTAAATTAAAAAATTTTCTTGTTCTTCAATGTATACTCATTTGAATTCTCTTTTATTCTGTGCATCATATTAGAACCGGGATGGACCAACCGGTCACGCCAAATGATAAAATCATTAGAAGTAGTAAGCCTTTTGCTTACTATGGCATGTGATTCAATCATACCAATAATTATGTGGTACAATCTAGAAGCAAATGCGGGTAAATTTTCATGCACACATTTTTTCCTTGCTTTTATTATAGTAATATAAAGATATTCAACCTTTCCTCCGTTGAGGTCTCAATATGGTAGCCATTTTGACGAATAGCTTTGAAACTCAACAAGTTTCTTTAAGACTTACTACAATACAATGCATTCTTAATAGCCAATATCATTCTTCCAAGTAGTAATAAGGTCGCTCTTCAGAGCCCTCAATTAATTTTATACTACCATATATTGTATTAATATATGCCTTTTTCATAACCAAATAAGAGAATAATTTCTTTTCTCTTAATATTGTGTGAGTTGTAGCACTATCCAGAATGCATAAATCTTCATTACTCATCGTGGATGTAACGATCCGACTGGTCATTTTGAGTGTTGTAGCCCCATTTTCCTATTTACTGCTCCTTTTGTGCTTTAAGTTGTTATATGAGTTATCGGGTTAGTTGGTTCGGGTCCGGAGAGATTTCGAAGTGAATGAAGACACTTAGTCTCATAATTGAAAGCTTAAGCTGGAAAAGTTGACTGGATGTTGACTTATGTGTAAACGACCCCGAATTTGAATTTTGATGGATCCGTTAGCTCCGTTGAGTGATTTTGGACTTAGGAGCGTGTCCGGATTGTGATTTAGAGGTCCGTAGTAGAATTAGGCTTGAAATGGCAAAAGTTAGAATTTTGAAAAGTTTGGTCGGGGGTGGACCTTTTGATATCGGGGTCGGATTAGAATTTCGGAAGTTGGAGTAGGTTCATGCTCTTTGATTGCATCCGCTTGATTGATCTTTTGGTGTCATTTATGACTTGTGTACAAAATTTGAGGTCAATCAGACGTGATTTGAAAGGTTTTGGCGTCGTTTGTAGAATTTGGAAATTTCAAAGTTCATTAGGCTTGAATTGGGGTGAGATTCGTGTTTTTGATGTTGTTGTAGGTGATTTGAAGGATCAAATAAGTTCGAATCGTGTGTTAGGACTTGTTGGTATGTTTGGTTGAGGTCCTGGGGGCCTCGAGTTGATTGTGGGTGGTTAATGAATCAAGGCTTGAAGTTGAAGGATTGTTGAAGTTTGAGGGCTGCTGGTGTAATCGCACCTGCAGAGTGGGAACCGCAGATGCGTGCTCGCAGGTGCAGGCAAACGTTCACAGATGAGGAGTTTAGGGAGAGGAGGCATATGGTCGCAAGTGCGATGGTTTTCTTGCACCTGCGTGACCTCAGTTGCGGGGGGAGGACCGTAAAAGAGAAGAAGGGAGATGGCGCAGAAACGAAGATTTTACGCAGGAGCGTGTTCGCAGGAGCAGATGTGGGAGTCTCGGATGCGGAAGAAACCACAAAAGCGAGCATTTTGTCTCTCCTACGAGTTTGATCTCGGAATTGGGAGATTTTTGAGAGAGATTTCGAAGGGATTCTTGAGGTAAGTCACTTGCGGTTAAATTTCTTAAATAAATATGCTTCCCCATTGATTTTCCTACCTAGTAGGTGTATTTTTGAGGTGTAATTTGGGGGTGTAGTGCTAGGGAATTGGAGTGACGAATTTGTGTATGATTTTGACAAAAATTGTATGGTTGGACTCGTGGTTGGATGGGCTTTTGGTTTTTGTGAGTTTTGTTGAATTCCGAGACGTGGGCCCGGGGCCCGGTTTGAACCAATTTTGAATTTTTGAGTTATAACTTTGTAATTTCTTGTAGAATTGATTCCTTAGCCCGTGTTGATTGTATTGTATTGTTTGTGGCTAGATTCCAGACGTTCGAAGACCGATTTGCGAGGCAAAGGCGTAATAGAGTAGGGATTTTGCTCGGATTGAGGTAAGCAACAGTTCTAAATCTGGTCCTGAGGGTATGAAACCCCGAATTTTGTGTCATGTGAGTGATTTGGAGGTGACGCACATGCTAGGTGACGGGCGTGTGGGAGTAGGGGTGTCAATGGTTCGGTTCAGCCGGTTATTTTATAAAATTTATACCATACCAATTTTTCGGTTATTCTATTATGTATAACCAAAATTAGATTTTTCAAAACCATCTCAATCATGTCGGTTTCTCTTCGGTATCGGTACGGTTCAGTAAATTTTCAGTAATTTTTTATAATATCATGTAAAAATCACTAGCAGAAGTAGAATGCAATAACTTACGTACTTTTATAGGACTTAGAAAAATTCTGTAGACATTTTTACAGTTTAAAAGGTGATGAATTAAGAAAATATGAAAGATGGCTAAAGTATAGATCCAACAACTATTCTACATCAACATAAAAGAAACTAAACAAATACAAAGAAAATATAAATCACACGAGTGGAAAGATAGTAACCAAGCTAGGATTCAAGAAAAAAGTCTATAGAAGATCAAAAATTCAAAAAGATAAATCTAAATCATACAATAGGAAACATATTCAACACTTGTAGTTCGCTACTCATAATCGCTACAATACCTTGTGTCTTGCTAGTGAATATGCTAGAAATAATTTAGTTTCAATAGGAGTAGCATAATAGATTTGGGAATTATGATTTTGAGTTTAATAATTTGTTGGCTTGTAACTGCTTTATAATTCCAAAGCCTAAGAAAAAATTTGATGCTTTATTACTTTTAAACTTAATATATAAATATATTTTTCAAATTGTTAATTTATTCGGTACGGTTCGGTATTTTTTTTGGTTTATTTTCATAAAATAAATAACCTACCTTAATTATCGGTACGGTTATAGATTTATATAAAAACCTACGGTTTTATTAAAGGAAACCTAAAAATCGGTTCGGTACGGTACGGTTCGGTCGGTTTAGTCAGTTTTTAAATATCCATTGACACCCTTATGGGCGTGCACCGTAGGAATTGGGACTTAATCCATTCTATGGAACTGTGAAGTTAAATAACTTATTGCCAGATATATGCTTTCCATGTGTTATAGAAAGTTGACTGCAAATCATGTTAGAAGTCATGTCTAGGCTATGTGTTGGTACCGTTGGGACCCATAAAGGCCATGATACATGTTGAACTACCTGTTAATTGTTGTTTGTACTCAGTCTTAGTTTTATTTGCATATCATACTTTATTATTCCTTGTTGATACATCATATCATTTCTATTTGGGCTGATCCGCATGATTCTGAAAGCCCGAGAAACTAGAGAGATTGATTACTGAGTGAGGCCGGGGGCCTAATTGTGAGGATATTTATGCGATTGGGCTACACGCCACAGCATGTTTCATTGGTTTTATGCCATGATTGGCTTGATATAGCATTTGGTCTGAAGGAGACCCTCCAGAGTCTGTACACACCCCAGTGAGCGCAGGTACCTACTGAGTGCGAGTGCCGAGTGCCAAGCGACTGAGAGGAATGAGTGACTGTGAGGAATGAGTGATGGCGAGGTTGGAGTGAATAGGAGGACCGAGTGACTGTTGCTCTGAGAGGTTGCATTTGATCTCATTGTTGTTGCACTTAGATGCCATATATCACTACTTGAAATTTTCTAAGAGATTTTAAATTTGGTTTTTACCTAAAATTGACATGTATAAACTGATTTGATTTAAGTTATCGAACTTGGAAGCATGCCTAACTTTTCTTTGTTGAGACTACTGAAAATTTGACTATAACTGTGTAGCTCGTCACTATCTTTAGCTCTTTATTTAGTATTGTTACTTGTTGAGTTGGTTGTACTCACGCTACACCCTGCACTTCCTATGCAGATCCAGGTATTTCAGGACACGGTGGGTATTGATATCGTGCACAACTGATATTTATAGATTACGAGGTAACTGCCCGGCGTTTATAGTCCTTGTTTCTCCTTCCTTATATTTCCTTTTTATTGTATTTAGATCCAGACTTTCGTGGTCATTATTTTTCTAGATTGGTGATGTATAGATGCTCATGAGCTTAGTGACACCCCGATTTGGGAGTTATGTTCTGCATTTATGTTTTGGGTTTTACCCCGTTTATGAGAATATAGTCATTTTAAAACAACTTTTATTCATTTTTCTACTAAATTTTGGAAATGTCGGCTGGCCTAGTACCACGATTGGCGCCATCACGACAGGTTAGGATTTGGGTCATAACAAGTTGGTATCAGAGCCTAGGTTACATAGGTCTCACGAGTCATGAGCAGGTTTAGTAGAGTCTTGCGCATCGGTACTAAATCTATGTTATTCACTGCAGATAGCAAGTATTATTTACTGGGGTTTTCCGATAGACTTACCTAATTTCAAGTCAATTCGAGATCATAAAAGTCATGATCTTCAAAACAACAACCAAATTTAAAAAACTACCATTAAGCATTTTTAGGAATGTAAAACATGGCATACATTCCAACCATATATCAGTTCATGTAAAATAACACATGCGTCATCATATTCCAGATTTAACAAAATAAGACCGACATAAAAGGAATGGCTTTTCATATCTAAATCACATTTTAATCCCGCAAACTACCAAAAAAATCCATCTAAATAACCCTGAACTGCCGAAATACGACATAATTCACTACATAGCAGTGAGTATTTCTTATCAAGTCGTTTCTGATGAACCATCCAAATTTCAAGGCAATTGGAGATGATGATCACCAAAACTAGACCAAATTCGAATAAGTCTTTTTAGGCGAATTTAAGATTCAACCAATGTGATTTAAATTCTTTCCATATATCATATTAAGTTAAACCATTATGTGTAATCATGTTCCAGATTTAACACAAATAAACTCGATATATAAAGAATAGCTTTTAATATTTAAAGCTTATTTAATCCAATCTAAAGACCTCAAAACAACACAAAACAACGTGATTCATTGCATAGCAGAGAGTGTTTCTCACCAGGTCGTTTTACTGGATCTACTAAATTTCAGGTCAACTGGAGTTCGGCAAATTCATGACCTTCAAATTCAGAGATTAACCATTTTAGGCATTCTCATGGATTAAAATAAATATGATCATGCTTTCTATTATCATTATAATTATGCCATGAGCACATGACATTGATTGTAATGACCCGACCAGTCGTTTTGAGCTCTAGGGCATCGTTCAGCAGTTTGAGGGCACGATCAGCTTCACTTAAGGTATTATGACTTGTATGCATAGTCGGAATTGAGATTCAGGGAGTTCGGAGTTGATTTGGAAAGAGAATTCTCATTTTGGAAGCTTAAAGTCGGAAGAATCTAACTAAGGGTTGATTTTGAGTAAACAAACTTGGAATCGGGATTTGAAGGTTCCAACTGATTTGTATGATAATTTTGGACTTGGGCATATGTCCGGATAGGGTTTTGGATGACCTGGGAGAGTTTCGGCGCCTATTGTGGAAGAGCTTTTGGAAGAATTTCATAAATTTAGGTTGAAGTGAATTTCAATGTTTTCGATGTCCGTTTGGGATTCCAAGATTGGGAATAGATCCGTATAGTGATTCTGTTATTGGGGCGCATCCGGAAGTGGATTCGAAGGTCCGTAGGTCATTTTGGAGTCATGTGGCTAAAGCTAGAAATTTGAAGGTTTTGAGAAGTTTGACCGAAAGTGAACCTTTTGATATTAGGGTCGGATTCCGATTCCGAAAGTTGGAGTAAGTCCGTAATGTCAAATACAACGTGTGTAACAAATTTGAGGTCAATCGGACGTGATTTGATAGGTTTCGGCATCGAATGAAGAAGTTTGACCTTCTAAAGTTCATAAAGTCGAATTGAGGTGTGATTCGTGATTTTGACGTTGTTCGATGTGATTTGAGGCCTCGAGCAGGTCCGCATTATGTTTTGGGACAGGTTGGTGTGATTGGATGAGGTCCCGAGGGCCTCGAATGGATTCTGGGTGGTTAACAGATCGAATTTAGAATTTGAAGAAGGATTTAGGAAGCTGGCATCTGGTGTAAGCGTACCTGCAAGGTTTTGGCCGCAGAAGTGGCCTAGGAGTCGCAGAAGCGGGCAGGAGCACATGTGCGAGGGAAGATCCGCACCTGCGAAGGCGTAGATGCAGAAAGGAGATCGCAGAAGTGGAAGCTGCTGGGTTGAGTTAGAGCCGCACTTGCGATGGATTTCCGCAGGTGCGTAGCCACAGAAGCGACTACTGGACCGCAGGTGTGAAGGTCGGGGCTGGCAGTGTCTTCTTTAAAACGAAGGGTTTGGCTCAATTTCATTTTATTTCGTCCATGAGAGCCGATTTTGGAGCAATATGGAGTGCCATCTTCATCAACTAGTAAGGGGTAAGTGCTTTCTTCCCAATTTTGAGTTAAATACATGAGTTTATATGGATTTAATCATGGAAAATTAGTGAAAATTTGGGGTTTTGGTGGAAAAACCTAGAATTTGTATTTTTGGATTTTGACCACGATATTGGACATGGAACTTGGAATAAGTTATATATTTGAGTTTGTGGCGTTATGGGTAAAGTTTATCATCGAAAATTTTGAAATCCGGGCACGTGGGCCCGAGGGTGATTTTATCGACTTTTCGATCGGGGTTAGAAATTATTATAAATTGGATTATAATGAGTATTTGAGTATATATTAATGGGTTTGCATAATTATTGGCTAGTTTTGGAGCGTTGAACATGAATTCGAGTTGTTTGAAGGGCCTGGAAGCCGGTTATCGAACTTCGGAGCGAGGTAAGTCTCCTTTCTAACCTTGTAAGAGGGAATTTACCTCATAGGTGAAATAAATCAATATGTGCTCCTATTTGTGGGGGCTACGTACGCACGAGGTGACGAGAGTCCGTGCGTAGCTACTATTATGCTTAAGTTCGGGTAGTCTAGGACCCAAAAGCATGCTTTACTTGTAATATCTGCAATCTTGTTGTCAATTTAAAATGCTTAAATCATATCGAACTTTGTAAATAAATTTCTAAAAGC